CTCATCATTTCACAAGGATAAACAGATATTTTAAGACTTGTACCAAAGTACTGAAGGGAACTAAACAAATGCAAAGTACAACAAAAGGGAAATAAATGCAAAGTACTACAAAACATAATGCCAGAGGAATCCAATTTGGTCCCATGAATTATTTCCTTTGGAAGAAATATACTTGCTCTGTCATTGGGTAAAGGAATGGATTAGAGATATAACATAAAACCAAGCATCAAGCTGTCTAACATTTATTGAAGCAAGGGGCATTTATGAGCACCACACTCTTTTATAGTGTTGCTCATTAATGGCATACTTTTCAAACCACAGGAGTGAGAGGATTTTATGGTACTAATGCTGAGAAGCAGCAAGGAAAGACTGAAGCCATCTGTCTGTTCCCCCCTGGAGTGTTAATTCTACTGGTCACACAGAACGCAAAACAGGGCAACTAAAATAGATCAGCTGTGTTTCCTGGTCTGGCACCACCTCTCCCTACTTCACCCACTCTTATTGTACATCATGTGCTAGCTCATTTTATCCTCTCTCTCTCTGTTTATTTTACAACACCAGTACAAACTCTGTTACATGTCACTCAGCAAGTGAAATGACTGAAAAAGAATGCCAACTTCTTTTATCAAATGAGTGACAGATTCCACTGCAAGAGAAAAATTCTTTACTAATGACCTCTACTGAATCTCTACCCACGGAACCACTGATCTGAATACTGTGCTCCCACTGTTCTTGAATGACAGATTGGATAAGTTAAATATGACTGACATTATTTCTCCATCAGGTTCAAGCTTCCATACTAAAGAACACTTGAAAGAGGTAATGGAAATTCTTATTTCATATTACCAGCTATGATAAATAGGATTTGCTTAAACTAGTGTCCGAATTAAAAGCTCAAGATTTTTAACAAAAAATAAAAGCTTAACTAAATGCTTGGTTTTATTTGAGATTTTAATTAGAGGCAAGTGATTCCTCCCCCCAGTCACTATCATTAGAGTTGATGCTTCCTTCCTCACATTCCCTGTGTTTAATCCCTCAATGTCTCTCCTACCCCCTCCCCCACTCCTTCACTCTACAATTCCTGTCTCTGAGAAATTGTAGACATAGTTGATGCAGGCTCAGCAAGATAAGCCATGAAACTATTTCTCAGATACAGCCACATTTCCAACAGAACTCCCTCTCCCCCCACTTTCGAGAGAGAGACATGCGCAGCAGGCACACAAGACAGAGAAAAAGCAAGATGGATGAAGAGACTTCTATACATCTTTCTGTAGACTTGATGCTCCGATTTGGGGCAACAGTTTAGCAACTGGTCACTTGTATTGTGGGAAGGAATCAACAGAAAACCACTTATCGCCCCATCCCATTTAAAAAAATGTGTCATAGGCTGCATTCAGACATCAGAACAAGGCTTAATTGCATCACGATTTCTGCACAGACAAAACTTCTCACCATGCTTGCCTGCATGTGAGAGCCTGGCTTGAAACAAACTCTGATTCCCTATGATGTGATATCTGAGTACATACATGTGTTTCAGTGATAAAATAAAGAGTAGTCCTCAAAGTATTTTCCAAAAAAAATTAGCCTTTTTTTGAAATTTTCAGAAAGAAAGCCACTAGTAATCAATCCTTAAATAATACACTAAAGACTTATGACATTATAAATATATATTCAAACTACTAGATCAGGGATGTCAAACATATAGCCCGTGGGCGGGAACCAGCCCATTCAGGGCTCTTATCCACCCTGCGAGCAATTGATTACCTTTACTGCCGGATGACCGAGACTGTGCATTATGTCCCTGTATACTGTCCCAGTGCTAATGGTGGTGAAAGTGGAAGGGCGGGCATCAGGGAGATACTTTAAGGAAATACCGTAAGAGTGTTAATGGTTTAAGCCTGTTCACGTTTTGAGTAAGAAATAATATCGTTAATTGAGTTTGCCTGTCTCTTTTAAAAAGTTGTTCTTCCCCCAAAGAGTGATTAACACATGGAATTCACTGCCACAGGAGGTGGTGGAGGCTACAAGCATGGACGGCTTCAAGAGGGAATTAGATAAACATATGGAGCAGAGATCCATCAGTGGCTATTAGCCACAAGGTATAGATAGGAACTCTGGGCAAGTGATGCCCTGTATTCTTAGTGCTTGGGGGGGGGGCAACAGTGGGAGAGCTTCTAGTGTCCTGGCCCCACTGATGGACCTCCTGATGGCACCTGGTATTTTTGGGCCCTGTGTGACAGAGTATTGGACTGGATGGGCCATTGGCCTGATCCAACATTGGCTTCTCTTATGTTCTTAAGTTTATACCTCCAGTACCTGGCATTACATTTTATGGCACACATGGCCGACCAACAAAGTGATATTTATGTCAGATCCAGTCTTTATAACAAATGAGTTTGACACTTCTGTACTAGATCGGTGGGTAGAGTAGAGGTCCCAATCAGAATAACTGGCAGGTGACAACCAAGGCATGGAGGATGAAGGAGGGTAGGCTCCATAAAGGTAGTGGAGCTGCCTGTGATCCCACACAACCACTGGGGGGGGCGATGGATGAAAGGACCGAGGAGACCTGTCCCTAGAATAGTCACGTCTTGGGGAGCGATAGCGTGGGGGTACATAGTCTCCCCCACTGATATCGAAAGTATGGTGCCTGTCATGTGATGATGTCTAGTGATAGCGACAGGTCAATGTCGATGCGTGTCGATGTCGACTGGAGAAGGCAATTGGGAGGATGCCAAAGAGCACTCCGATGGGGAGCATTCCCTCCTAGGCGAATGGCTGAGTATCTCCATGTCATCGATATTGGGAAAAGGTTGTACGTCATCCGGTATCACGGGGTTCAGTGGAGAATCCAGTAGTCGTATAGGCGGTGCCATCGAAATCAAAGGGGTATCTGACACTGGAGCGCTGGCGCTGAGTGGGTGCACCTTCGTGGTCATGCCAGGTTCAGGACCCATATCCTTCGCAGACCCACTCGCCTTAGGGGGTTTAGAACTGCCCTTTTTGGTGGTCTTACAGCCCTTATAGGCTTTGTCCGTTGTTGTTTTTTCTTAACGGGAGTGGAAGCGGACGATTGTGTTGTTGGTGCTGGACGCTTTAACGTTGGTAGGATGATGTCGGAGGCAGGCCTCGATGCCAATAGGGCCGTCGATGTCGACGGTTTGGAAATTAGATTGGACTCCATGCCGGAAGCCTCAGGAGCTAACACAGATTCCAAAAGGTCCACCCAAAGACGCGCCGTTCTATTTTTCCTAGTTTGATTGGAAAATTTGGCGCAATGCTGGCAGGAGTCTGGACAGTGGGCTTCTCCCAGGCAAAAAATACAAAGGGTGTGATCGTCCGGGGGGGGCAAGTTTACTGCCACACTTAGTACAGCGTTTAAAAAAGCCCCACTTCTTCACCATAAAAGTTCGAGGGCGAAGAATAGAAAAGAAAAAAGGGGGAAGGGGGGGAACAAACGGCCTGAAGGCCTAACTGAGGGGAAACATCCACCCCCTCACCCAACGAACAAATCAAAGTCTTTTTATTTTTTAGTTTTTTAAAGAGAAAAACGAAGACAAAACAGGAGGATGGAAAAATAGAGGAAAAGGATCCAAAGAGTGAGAGAGAAAGTATGAAAACCTCACCGACCAGAAAGAGCTGTTCACAGTTCGGCTGTGAGAAAGGAACTGGCGGGATCTCTGCGCCCGCCCCTCTGGGCATGCGTAGTTGGGTTTCCTGTGCGTGCCTGAGGTTTGGGCGCGAAAATCCATTTGAGCTTGCTACAATACCAATCAGTTCAGCGTAGGCACACCAAACCCATGGGTGTGAAGCACAGAGACCACGTCAAAGATGTATACATTCTTGTTCTCACCCCCCACATCTCCATGGCAACCAAGCCCAAGAAGGGGCCAGGTTGACACTTGGGCACAGCCAGAGGCATAAGCCTTTGCTGCAAATCAAAATACTCTTTTAGTTTGCCTCTGAGCCTGTGACTGAGCTCCCAAGTGAACTGGGCCAATATAGGCAGGACTAGCCTAGGACATGTTGTATTGTACTATTTACTTCTGTTTGCTTATTTAAATTGTATTTTTAAGCTGTTTGGGTTCCCACTAGGGAGAAAAACAGGTAAAAATCTTTAAACACAGCATGAATTTTACTCTTCTTTTTTTTTCCAGATCAGCTATTGACTTCTCCTGATAGAAGCGACCAGAAGTCAGTCTGCAAGAATGAGGCCTGAACCTGAGGTATTAAAGTACTACTTTTCCTGTATGAATAGGAAAAGTCAATTAAGATTTTTATCTAAGGCCGTTGCCTGGGGACAACCTACTTGATGGTCTTCAGTCATTCAGTGGATATTTAACTAAGAACCTTTTCTGTGAAAGCACTGCAGTTGTGAAATTTTCTCCCAAAGAAGTTTTCTGACACAAGTCATTTAGATATGATAAACAGAACCTGTCTGACTGTGCTAATAATAATAATTATCATCATCGTATGGCATTGTGTGTAGAATAGCCAGGAGATCTGAAGATTGTCTGACAGCCACAAGTTCTAGCTCTTAGCATTCTGCACCACTATGTAGTGAGCTATACTTGTTTTTAGGGGTTCAGAGACCTCTGAAAGAACTGTGACTGGCCCAAGATCACTCAACTGGCTTTATGTGAAGGACTGCAAAATCAAACCCAGTTCTCCAGATTACAGTCCACCACTCTTAACCACTACACCAAACTGGCTCATCAGATATCTGATGAACTGTGCATGCACATGAAAGCTCATACCCAGAATTAAGTTTTGTTGGTCTTAAAGGAGCCACTGGACTCAACCTTTGTTCTGTTGCTTCAGGCCAACACAGCTGCCCACCTGAATCTATTTAGGTGGGATATAAGTAATTTTTTTTCCAGTAGTGGGAGATGTTTTATGAGTTTTAATTGGTTTCTGAGTGAACGTGTGTAGTTCAAGAAACAGAAATTTGTTCCCTGGGATTTACTGAAGTAAAGAATAAAAGGAAACACATAACTCACCGATCCACTGCTTCTACATCAAAGCAAAACCTCTTCTCTATGGAATCAGTTTTCCGTCGTGTACAAGATTTGAGGGTAATGGCTTCATCTTCTCCCTGGCAGAAGAAGCAATGAGCAGGACATGAAAAGAAATTCACACTGTTAACAGCCTTGTTCTAAATCCCAGTTCTGTTAATTTTGTAAGTAATGAAGGTGTTGACTTACATAATCAAGGTTTCACTGTAACCAGCAAACTATCCTTCCTAAACTTACAAATTTTCATTGTGAATATCCTTCAACCTTAGAACTGATTAAACAGAGTCTTGACTATGGCAGCCCATGCCACAGTAATGGTTCTAGAAAACTTATTTATTTTAAAAATTGTATTTCTATTTCTGTATTAAAACACTTATAACCCATCTTTCCTCACAGTTCAGTCAGCATGGTTTTTATTTGGAGACTGGGTCTTGCAAGTTTGCCATAATCTTTGACAACATTTTGTGGAGCACAAGCAATAGACTGCAGCTGACTACCGCCACACTGCCTTTATTTAGCCACATTGCCTTTATTCAGAAAAAAGCCCCCCCCCCCCAAAAAAAAAGATACTGGAAGAGAGGGAATGGGCCTTGGGCTTCTTCCATACAGCAAAAAGGTACAGAGGAGAGGACTTTAGCCTCACAGGGCAAAGGAGATCTCTCATCTTCCTTATTCACCTTCTTATTCTACTAATAAGATCCCAAATATCAATTATGTTAACTGTCTTATCACTGGCTTATCATATGAACAGTAAAATAAAGACAGAACAAATATAGAACCTTTAGTCTGATACATTTACATTTATGTTGCATTACTGTGACTGTGTTCCACGTTTTGTGCAAAGGCCGATAGTGATTAATTTACCTTTACATGGGCCCAAATTTGCCCATTTTCAGGACACAGATCCTGAGTACTATTCACTGTAGATCATCACTAGGAGGGATTTTGGCTTTTGGAGTACACTTACCAAATGAGAAGCTTTGATATATATGGGGATTAATTCTTGATTGCTTAAACATGTCAAGGCTAACTTCTCAATTCTTCCCAAAGGCTCTTTTCAACTGGATCACTGTTTGCCTTTGGTGATGTAGTCATGTCAGGTTTATACCATAAAAGATTTCATAAAGCATGCTGTGGCAGAATTAGTCACGTTTTGAACTTGCAGAGGAAACCTGACACAACCATGTTACAATGTCAGTCATTTTCATGATGAAAACAAACCAAAAGAAACAAGAAGCATGAATAAGCACTACACCATGTGAGGATAAACCCATGACAAATACGGAAAATTAAAGCTTCTCCAAACCATAATTCTCATACATGGGCAATCGCTATACATACTATATAGCTGCCCTGAGCCGACACTGGAAAGGCAGGGTATAAGTATTTTAATAAATATACTAAATCTTACAACTGCAGCCCTCAAGTTCTTTATAGCAACCATTCCAGAAATCAAGGCAATTCCTGGTAAGAGTCGGTGGAGGTAGAACTTCTGAATTACTGGCTGATTCAAGCATTCTCTGACCTTGAATTATACTGCAGGCAAAAAGGCAAAAATCAGGCTTATTCCACTGAGGAAGCAGTACTTATGAAGCGCACTAGATGCATGAAAAGTGGTAATTTAGAGCTGAGGAATCACTTGACCCAGAAAGAGGAGTAGGAAGAAAACTATTTTAAACAGCAGAGCTGCAGATCCTTATAGACATGGGAGGATTGCCAACGCAAATGTAAATAAGCAAAATGCTGCAGGGCAAGACAGAGTGAATGTAATGATTCACCCATAACCAGTGAGCTTCAAGAGCACCTGCTATTACTGCTGAAGTCATCTCCTGTGCTGCACGGATTAAGAAAAATGCAATCTCCCTGGTTGCAGAAAGGACAACTTTGTTGAAATTCCTATTTTAATTGCCTGTGAGGCTTCCTTGAGAAGCAGCCTTCTTTGGAGAAAATGCTTTTCATGTTAACCCTTTCTCACAACAAGATCTCTCTCATACAACTGTGCATGTCTTCAGATAAAGTCCAGAAGGAACCATTTCAGGACTCAGTTCCCAACTCATGGACCTGGATTTTTTTTAAAAATACACACATACAAAAAAAAACCTCCAGAAAGTAACATAAATGGGCCACATTTCAGTATCACAGAAGCCTGTTGAAGAGAATCGTAATGCACAGTTAGAGTTAGTAAAGGTTTTGCCCAGTTAACCTAATTTCAAATATGCATTCTAAAGAATTTTCCTGTTGGTGTTAATTAATTAAACAAAAAACAAAAGTGAAATTCTTTACAGAGACCCTGAAGTAGGAAAATTTAATTCTGAAGCAACAATGCCTTTGGTAGAGAAGCTATTACATTCTTTCATAGAAGGAGTTTTAAATCTGAACACAGAATAATAGCATTGGTGCACCATGTTACTCTACAGTCTCACACTTTTTGCTAATCCAGCAGTCTACCCCTTTAGCTCAATGTTAAACGGACAAAACAAGTATACTACGGCAAATATACTCTTGCCTGGGGAAGAGTACTACAACAGTGAAAGGGAAATGCAGCTACCCTTTTAATTTCTTAAGGGCCAGTGCTATTTACCCAGGGCACTGCAGTAGGCAGTTGTACCTTTTATCAGCTAGGAAGGTTATATTTTCTTTTAATTGTACTTCCATGGAAAGAATAACTACTCTAAAGGAACCTACAAGTAACAGGGACAAACTGCTACACCAAATCCTTAAAGATAAAGAACCAAATTGTGAGCAAGAAGATACTGTATCAAGACAGAACCAGGTGTTCTTCAAAAAGACTTTTATCGCAAGAAAGGAAGATAAACTGTCTAAAGAAGTAGGACCTTCAAAAGTGAAGAGATTGTCATGTATAGAAACATTTAAACCTGTGAAAACTAAGTTTTTCCAGGAAGAAAAAAGGGTAAAAACCAGGCAATCAAGCATTGTACCAAGCCAAATATTCCCCAATGTAAAGCAAACTCATAAAGTCCCTATAAAGGGAAAAGACACAGAGACAAGAATCTATCCAAGATGACTACTGCTCCATCCCAGAATGGAAAAAAAGATAGAAAATATGCAACCAAACATGAACTTAGGTTCAACGCTGTTAACTGCAAACCAAACTTATATGGTCTAAAAGGGGAAAAGATACAAAGACAACATTTTACTGATGAGGATATTTGACAAAAAAGAAGAAAACTAAGATTTATATACTATCTAGGGTTGCAAAAATATTACGTTAGTAGTTAATCTGCATTAGTCATGCTGTAAAGGAGTGATTTGAACTGATGTAATACAAGAAATTAAGCTCTTTTTAGTGCTGTATTTTTCTTTTTGGAAAACTAAAAAAAATTAGTGATAGGCTAAACGATGGAGAAACTATAGAATAATAGGTGGAAGTAAACCACAGAAGGATCCTGATGCTTATGTTCATTAATAATTAAATACCAAGTCAGAATGAAAATAGATGTATATACATGTTTTGCAGTAAATTGTATTGGCAAGAAGAACAGAAAAGGAAATAATTCCATCAAGGGTCAGAACAGATGGATAAATATGGAAAATTTGTAGCAGAGCCTTTGATTTTGCATTATTAAAGGAAAACAATGGTAGAATGTTTAGATAACTCTCAAATGAATTTATTAATGTACTATTTGTCATTTAGGCTTGCAAAATATTAGTGTATTAGTTAATTTACATTAGTTAAGCTATACGGGAGGGATTTGAACTGATGTAGTACAAGATACCAAGCTCTTTTTATGTTGTATTGTTTTTGTTCATTTGTTTGTTTTTTGGAAAACCAATAAAAATTTATCACAAAAAAAGAAAAGAAAGAATAAGGAGTTTGGACGTGCTATTGAGAAATGATGGTAACTAGCTTTGACCCTACTGAGTAGCCTCTCCACAATCTCAACATGAATCCTATGATTATTTGGATAATTCTGCTCTGACTGCCGATATACCAATTTCCACTTACCCCCTTTCCACCAGACTTCTGATCAAATGGCACCATAATTATACGCTTAGAGTCACTCTGATAGGTGCAGTAATGCTTAACCCAGGATGTTCCAAAGTGACCTACAGCATAAACGAAATGTTACAATATACACAAAAAAATCTTAGTATTCACTGATGACAAAGCAGATCTGGTTTTTATTAAACAAAATTTTATGCAATTCTATTCACCTAATTTCACAAAGCCAAAAAAAGAAGAAGAGATTGGATTTCTACCCCGCCCTTCACTTGGAGTCTCAGAGCAGCTTACAAACTCCTTTCCCTTCCCCTCCCCACAACAGACACCCTGTGAGGTGGATGGAGCTGAGAGAACTCTGACACAAACTGCTCTTTTTCAAGGACAGCTGTGCCAGAGCTTGTGACTGACCCAAGGTCACATCAGCAGGTGCAAGTGGAGGAGTGGGGAATCAAACCCAATTCTCCCAGCTTAGAGTCCGCGCACTTAACCACTATACCAAACTGGCTCTCAAAAGAAGGATTCCTCCACCAGCTTACTGAGAAACTATCACTAGAAGCATATTAACTTGCTCAAGATTCCACTGTGGAGTTCCATAGTCTCAAAATAAAAGCACTTACGCTTTTCTTGGACATATAAGTAACCCTCCATTGTGAATGGACTGATGTTTTTGTGCTCATGGGGATTCTCCTTCATCTTCTTCATCAAGGCCTCAACCTCTGATCGCGTTCCTTCAAAACGGTTTCTTGTCTGCATTTATGGGAGAATGCAAGAAAGGATGTTAGGTAGCCCTTGCCAGCCCTTAAACTCCCAGGACTTTAGGAAGTATCTACTCTCTGCACTAAAATTAACAGCCACTAACTATGTTCTTCTCTAACCTTAACTAATTTGCTGGAAACCCTCAAAGCCATCTCTCATGGGGGGCTATGGCTACCCCATTAAACAGTGAAGTCAGCTGGGCTGAGGCAAGGAGTGGAGAGCACATGCTGCTGTGTGGGAGCTATGAGAGAGTTGGGTTCTTTGTAGCCTGAGAGAGAGTGGTTCTGTTTAAGTCTGTTTGGGGCTGTTTGTGATTTGGGGGTTGTTGGAGGCTGAGTGAGTTGCTGTGGAGTGCTGCTGATTGCAAGCCCTGCCCCCTATTGTGCTGGGCTCTGCTGTGCTGGGCAGGAAGGGGCATTTTGAAAAAAAAGGCTGCTCCTCGCCAGAGGCAGAGCCGAGTCAGCTGGGCTGAGGCAAGGAGTGGAGAGCACGTGGTGAGTTGCTGATAGAAGGTAAGGGATTTTTCTTTCTCCCTTTGCCTTCCCAGCTGCTGTGTGGGAGCTGTGGCTCTTAGCCTGTGGGTCTTGCTTGGAGGCCTTGTAAGAACCTGAGTAGAGGGCTGCTACTGAGTTCTGGAGAGAGAACTGCTGGCAAGGTAGCAATTTGGTCAGTCTCAAAGTTTTCAGGGTACATCCCCACAACAAGAATTTACGTTGCATTTTGAGGGAGGTTCCTGAGGCTGTAGAAGATTTGCTCCTGGGGAGATGGATAATGAAGGATCTATTCCAGTGACCTGTCAGAGTTGTGCCATGATCATTTTTCTGCTTTGCCAGGAAATGCATTATATATGCTGCAAGTGCAAGCTTATAAGAATGCTTGAGGAGAAGGTGGGAGAACTCGAGGCACAAATCTGTACACTGAGGAACATCAGGGAGGGAGATAGGTTTTTAGACGTGAAGGAAGAGGGGCTCCTGAGAGAACAGCATATCCTAAGCAAGAGGAAGGAAGTAACAAGGAACAGGTGAGTGAGTAGCAGAATGTGACCTTGAGGAGTAAGATAATCAGGAAACACTCACAGCCAGTGGAACTGCAAAATCGCTACCAGTCGCTTCTGATGGTGGAAGTTCAGAATAGCACATTCTGAGATCAAAAGGATATGACTGACACACAAACACATAGGCAGAGAAGGAACCAAGCTATCCCACGGAGGAAGAGACGAGTTGTGGTGGTTGGTGACTCCCTACTGAGAGGGACGGAAGAAGTTGTGTGTAGACCGGACAAGGAATCTCGAGAGGTTCGTTGTCTTCCTGGAGTGTGTATCTGAGAAGTGACTAAGAGAATTCCAAGACTGGTCAAGATCTCTGATCGCTACCCGCTCCTGCTGATCCATGTGGGAACGA